AGTAGCAAGGCAGCCCCAAAATTAGCATTTTACCAGTACAAATCATGGCCAATTAGCAAACACAGATAGGCAACAATGTCATGCAAAAATGGCCCTAAATATGAGGTTATGAAGCAACTCACAGCTGCTGACCTCAAACAGGTTAGGGCCTCTCAACAATATTGAAGAGGGGCCCAAAATAAGCACATTTACAGAACTGTAAAAACCCTAAAAACAAACATAGATATGACTAAGCTCTTATGCAAGAAAAGGGGCCAAAATGTGGCCAAAGAGGCAAGTGGTATATGCACAGCCCAAACTGAAAAATTCCCTTCTACAACACTGAATAGGGACCAAAAATATGCACATTTACAGTTTATGGAAACCCAAAATCAGTATACAAACATGCTAGAAATGCAATGCAAAATGAGGCTCAAATGTGCTATAACATGAGGTATACAAAATATTCATCAAACTGCCCAAACCCTTAATAAAAATGAAGAATGGGCCAAAATAAGACTATTTTTAGTACTGTAAAATGACTAAAAACCGAAGCACAATAGGCTGCCAAGATATGCAAGAAAAGGGGACCAGGAGGGATATAACATGAAGTAGCATATGGAGGTCCCAAACCATGAAATGCCCTTAATAAAACATGAAGAATGGACCAAAATAAGACTATTTTAAGTACTGTAAAAAGGCCAAAACCGAAGCATAATAGGCTGCCAAAACTGCAAAAATGGGACCCAAAAGAGAATATAATGGAAGTATAGCATGGAGGTCCCAAACAGTGTTGAGCCTTCTTCAATGTTGAAAAGGGGCTCAAAATAAGCCTATTTACAGTTTTAATCATGCTCCAAAATAGATCACACACAAGCTAAAAATACTACGCAAGATAACGGTATTTAAGAAGGATATTGAGCAAGTGCAATATGGGGGCCAAACAGTGTTGAGCCCTTAAGCAAAAGTGAAAAAGAGCTCAAAAGAAGGCCACTTTCAGTTAGGGCCGGAGCTCAAAACATCAAGCATATATGGCTAAGGAATGTTGCAAAAATGGCTTAAAAAGAAGGAAATGGCAACTCACCTCTGTAGACCAATCTTTGGTTGCTTCTTGGACCAAGTTGCAGCACCTTTAGCCTCTAAGAAGCCTCCTTGCTGCTGGAAATGAGTGGTGGTGATGGTGTTAGGTGGTAGTGAAGAAAAGGGGATGAAACTTGGTGTTTTAAGGTAGAAATGAGAGAAGGAGGGGGATATAATGCAAGAGGCTTAATGATTTTTTGTAACCTCTAATACAAATGCTGGCCCCTGGTTATATGGAACAAAAAGAGGAGTAAAGGTGGGAAAATGTGGGGAAAAGGAGGCAAGTTTTCCCCAAAAATATTCCCCCGGATTGAGATATTTTCTGGGGGTACAGCTATACAGCTGTAAAGTGTGTATTGCAAGGAAAATGGCCGGCACCTTTTGGAGTTGCAGGTGGCCGGCCGCACCCCCCCTAGCCGGCCTAGGGGTCAAAAAGGTCAAGTTGAATTAATGTCCGGCCACCACTTTTTAGGGTCCTCCATGTGTCCTAACACAACCCTATAGTTCAAAATTGGCAACTGTAAGACAGGAGGGACAACAAGCCACTTCTAGGGGGGTCAAAAGGGTCAGGTGACATTAGTGGCCGGCCACCAACTTTTAGGATCCTCCCAAGTGTGTACAACACAAATTGTGGTTTGGGGTTGAAAGAGTGGCCCCAAGGTGTTCAACATTGGCTCGGAAGTGAGAGAAAAACGGGTGCCGGAGGGTGAAAATGGAATATAACTGGTTGCCAAGATAATTGCTGGCCTCCACCCTCCAGTGACCTTCCTGATGATAAAACAGAGGTACCTGCCAAAAATGAACGAAAATCGATGCAAAACGAATGCTCGGGGGCCAAAACACGCAGTTCGGGGTCCTAGAAATGGGCTGTTAAGCATCGAAAGTGGCATTCGGCCACGAAGTGGGTTTCTCAGACCCCAGTGTCCTCAAAAGGGAGTAGAAGGAAGTATGCCAAAAATCAGAACAAACGGAGATGGTTAGGCGGTCCCGAACCGAGGCACACGCCTGACGGCTCCGAAAACCGGGAACCGGGGCGCCCGAAAACCGGGAACCGGGCTCCGAATTGGGCAAAATGGCCTACAGCCACAAAATGTAGCCCACGGCCACTGAGAAATGGTCTACGGACCTCTCCCTCCCCTCAGGAAAGAAACAGAGAAAACTGAGTCTGGTTCGCAAACCGAGGCAAGGCACAGAAGAGGGTTCAGAAATCCGGAGGCAGGGCTCACGGCCGCGACTCTGAGACTTCTAAACGAGCATAATATGTAGTATCACCGAACGCTCAACTGGTGACGTCTGAGTCTTAAGGTCAGTCAAAAATGGGGTGTCTACACCTCTCTGTCCCTTATCTCTTTATTTTATTTTAAATTGCCATAGCTATATTTCACATTTTTACTGTGCTAAAATCATTAACTGACATAGTTGTTAAGACACTTGTTTTAATTATTTTTATTTCATTAATTATATTTATCTATTGTGCTAGTCATAATTTTTATTAGGGTATTATTAATTTTAATTGTAAAAACCTAATTCACCCCCTCTTAGATTGTTTTTTGGGTAATAAATTATCACATAAAGAACTTAGGGAAATTGAACAAAGTGTATGGGTTTTGGACACAATAGAAGGTCATGCAAAGGTCCAGCACATAAAAAAATCCCAAATGTTCAAGAGAATGAGTGGACCAACCCCCAGTTCTAGAAAATCTACAAGGCAACTAAGCAAAGTAAATTTCAATTTATTGTAATGCACTATTTGTATACAAAGTAAATTCATTTCAATTTTAGTAATTTCATTTTGTGTATTTCAATTTATACTTTTATTGTAGTTTCTCAAATGCTTCATCTCAACAAGCTACAACACACACATCTTCATCTCAACCAGCTGTCACTTATCCTGTTTCATCCCAACAAGTTGCCAGTACTCACCCATCTTCATCCCAACTAGCTGCTATTACTCAAACACAACCAACAATGCCTTGTGGAGCAAGTGCAAGTGGAAATGCATCAACTAGAGTTGTTGCTAGTTCTGCATCAGCTAGACATATGCCCCAATCTGGAAGGGGATTTACAACACATGGGATGAATGCAAAGGACAAAGCAAAGGGTTTGAGGGATTAGGTTTAGGTGGCCTATATGATGATTGAAAAGTTATTTTTTATCGTTTTTGTAAGGCCTGATATTTGGGGTTGCTAAAACAATATTTTTTTATCATTTTTGTAAGGCCTATTCTAATGGTTTTGTAATTAAAATGTTACTGTTGTTGATATTTGTAAGGCCTAGTTGAGGTTGGTAGAACAATATTTGCAAAGGCCTGTTCTAATGGTTCAATCAAATGTTGATGTTTAATGATCATTAAGTAGTTTTTGTAATTGAAATGTTGGAATGTTGGTGAACATTAAACAAGTTTTGTAATTTAAATGTCGAAATGTTGGTCTTAGGGAGCAAATTTTGTGAGTGAAATGTTGATACTTAATGAACATGCTTCAGGTGTTGGAATTGAATAGGTTTTGTAATACTTCAAAAATATATTTCATTTATATCTAAAAAGTCTTCAATATTACATATCTTCCTTCCTCATATTAGGTTACATAACACTTTTTTTTTTTTGCTTTTATTTTAGAGTACATGCAATATAGCATAAAAACAACATCCAACTTCCTAGCAATATTCTTTGATACAACTTTTCCTTTTTTTTGAGCTTTTTCAACTTCTAACTCCATATGATTTACTCGTTGCACGAGTCTTGGTAGTAGATCATGCGAGCGGCGGCATAATGGTGGGTCAATCCACTCAAAATATTCACAAGTGGCATGAATCTGAAAATTTTAATAACTAAGTTTGGATTTTTATTTCAATATTATATAACATAACAAATAAATTAATTAATTACTTAATTACTAAATATTGAAAGTGATTACCTCATAATTTGCGCATTCTATAAATCTTCTTCCCATATTTGCATTTGTCTAATTATCTGGAGCTCTTTGGCTACAGTAGCATGTACGAGCTAAACTTTGTGCACTATAGTGGGAATCTTGGAAAGATGACATCTTAAAAAATGGAAGTAGTCCCAGAATTTTTTTGGTTGGAAAAAGTGAGTTTGGAATTTTTTTTGGCTGCAAAAAGTGGATTTGGTGGCTTGATGGTTATATAAGCAAGTGAAAGGGCAAATTGGTCATTTAACCTTCCAATTTTGGCGCCAAAACACTTAATTCTAGTGCAAATACGCTACTCTGGCGCGTCTTCTGCACGTGCTGTGAAGTCTACCAGATCCCGTCACTTTTGCACACTTCAGTCAAAATCACAGGATATTTATAAATACATTTATTAACATCATAGAGATAATGTAAAAACACATAAAATTACATGGGGGATAAAATGTAATTATCCCTCCTTTTTTTTTTTTTTCCTTTTTTGTGGGAACATTCAAGGCTTTAGTTATTAGACCAAGGACAAGTCATTCCTTAAAAAAAAACACACAAATTAGTACAATTTTTAAATCAATTTAATTTTTTGTTCCCAAATGATTCATTAAAAAAAAAAACACACAAATTATTAAAATATGAATCTGTTCAAGTTTTTTTTTTTTTTTTTTTTTTTTTTTTGAAGGCTTTAGTTCTTTAATAATACTATACGTATAAATTAGTATATTAATTATTGATGTGATATAATTTAAATTTTTTTTGATATTTATAATTTAAATAATAAGTATGATCAATAATAATGTTATAATCAATGTTATTATATTAATTGAAATATGTAAAACCACCGGATCTAATAACTAATATATCAATACTAATTATAATATTATTATTAACCTTACTTATTAATTATATTATAAATATAATTTTTTTTTTTAAATTATAGCACATTATCGACTGGTACATTTTAGTAACCTGGATGCATACAGCATTATTTTATTAGATCGGAGAAGTCATTCGTTAAAAATAAATAAATAAATGTTTAGAAGAGAAACGGTTCGGGTTGAATTGCTTCAACCCAAATCAGAGACCTAGGAGAAAGCCTCTTCCCTCACTCTCTCTCTCTCTCTCTCTCTCTCTCGCTTTCTGATTTC